CCCGAAACGCCTGCCAGTTTGACATAGCTTGACTGACTGTAGCTAAAATTTATGGTTACTTAATTTATCTCATTTTTATTAGGTGACTTATATGACTTCTTTCGTTACCTTTGTGTCCCTTTTTTAGCATCTAAGAAATGGACAGAAAATTAGGGCCAATGGCCTATCAAGCTTCCTGTGCCAAGAAGCCCTTAATCTCACTCTCACTCTTGTCCGTCTGTCCGATCCTTCTACTAGTAAATTTGGCCGTCTCATCAATAGTCTGCTTGAGTTCGGATTCGTAACTCCTGGCTACCTAAATTGCCTCTCTCGTCTGTTAAGCATTTTATCTCGGAACCAACATTTGAATCTCTACTTTTGCATATGTGGTCCGAAAACAATTTGTTGTCGCAGCCCAACTAGCTCAGATATCTTTTTGATTGATTTCTTTTATTTATCAGAGTGCTGGCTGATTCAATACTGTGATCGCCACAAATGGGGCTCACAATCTAACAAGATTGTAACTAACTCTCGACGCTTACAGCTCATTGCCCGCCTCATACTTCATCCTGTATTTTCCCTATGTGCTTCATTCTCATCCTCAGGTCGACCTGGCTGCCGCAACAGTCTACAATATTCATGTTTAAAATTTCCAAGCACTTTGCACCCGACCTGTCGTAAGTCAAAAACCAATTATCTCTGTCGTTACAAGCCAATACTCAGCTGTAGTATTCGAGGCCTCTTAGGACTTGAATCTAGATCTCGAGCCCGATCTTGGATAGAAACCAAAACGAATTGGAATTCTAGATTGAAATCTTTTTCCTCGCGTCGGCTTTCCACTGCCCCTTTGCAGTGTCTTATCCACTTGATGGTAGTAATCATTCTACGACCATGGGGCTGGCGTATGCCTCTGCTGGACACCGGTGAATTGCGGCGTTATCTATCTCAACAACAACGTGACGTTGTAGCTTCTAACTTAGCCAGATTGGCTCTCTTCCGTGCCTCATGCTTTGATTCTAACTTAGAGCAACTCTCAGTGCCCCATAAATTTGGAGAGACTCGCAAGCCCTCAGCTGCAGTCTGCATTGTGCCCGACTATGCCAGACCTGGTTTGGAATATTCTCCAGTCAGTATCTGGTTCGCTCGGGTGCGGCGTCGCCTCTCAGTTCTGTCTTTTTATCCTCGCACTTGCCAGGCTGTGCTATTCGATGCAATCGTCACTTTTCCACAGATTGGACAGGAGACCACTGCCGTCCAAATCCTCGCTGAGCAGGTGCTGCCTTGGATATCGCCTTCCGAGTGTGACTACACTTACTTACCAGTTCATAGTGTCCCCTGGAACCCGCTTCCCTTGCATGGATTGCTAAAATGCCCTCAATTTTCAACTGTGATAGCTGACTTTCTTCCGACACTTTTGACATCTTTGATTTCCCGAGCCGTTGGTATCGACAAGCCGCGGCTGACGGCTTCTGAATTTGTGAAGCAGATCTCCTCATATCGCTCAGATAGCTTATCAGGTCCTGGCCTATTCCAGTTGCTTCTTCTCAATTCTGCGCGTGGCCTCCTCGACGCCGGTCACTTGCTATCTGAAGTGGCGTCATTCCTTGTTGCGATTCACTCCTCCCTACTCTCTACGTCATCACCTTCAAGTGTTGAGAATATCCAAATAGACGCCGAGGAGGCTTCCGAGTTTGCTTTGAATACAGATCGCGATTCTCTGGAGATGTTGCAACGCAGTCTTGCTCAAGCTTGCATTAAGGTAGCCGCTGTATGTCTGCCGATGACGACTGATTCTCCTTCCTTCCAGCTCGGCGTTGGCTCTCTTCGCTTTTTGGCCATTCGAGCAATTCGCTGTCGTCTACGCGTCTATCTTGACCTGCGCTGGAGCTCGGCTGATGCAGCTTTAACTCGGATAAGGCCTATCTGGGGCGGCATATCCAGTCTGTTAAGGACAAAATGTTTACCACTTCCAGCTTCAGACTTGGCTGCCCTTATTCGGTTTCCTTTCAAATAGGCCTCTCGTTAGCACCAACTTAACGACCGTTAATTTGCTGGCACTAGTCCTTGTGCTTTTGGAATGTTGATGGTTTCGGTTGTCTCTCGGCCGATTTGGTCTCAATTTATTATTTCCTGGCGCACTATACATATAGTTGTAATTATTCTCCCATATATCTATGCATCCATTCAAATCGGAACCTAGAGTTTGTTATGAGGGACTATTGCTATGTTAATCTGTGTTAGGCTTATGCACCTGCTTCAGCGATTTCAGGTGATTCAACTAACTACATGATAAAATTACTTTAATTCATTCTTTGACTGAATTTAAGAACATTATTTCTATATATTTTCTGATATTTGCTTCTAATAAACAAATACTTTTCTATTTTTAAAGGTGACGAATAACTGCGTATTTTAGGACTCCTTAAACAAATATTTTGGTACTGTTAAGATAGTACAAAGTCCTTAATTAGAAGATCTTATACCTCGCTAGCAGTGCCCACACGAATAGCATTTGTACTGGTATAGCAGTGAATGCATAATTCGCTACAGACTTGTATTCCTCGTGAATAAGCTGACGACTTGTTTGTTGGGAGACTTGATGATAATGAAAAGTGGGAAATTCTTTTAAAGATTCTTTTTAGTTTAGCCTATATGTGAATTACGGAGTAGCTCCTTGTACAAGCTTCAAATGATCGGATTCCTCGAAGTTATGACCGGTTATTTTCTGCTATATCTTGCTATTTTAGATGTCGTTTTCATGACTCGTCTTTAAAGATTTCCAGATCCTTCCAACCAGTTCACCTTTATCGATTTGATTGTTTGGCTTCCTTATTGCTCGAACATAATGTTTCTAATGGTACATCTTGCTTAAATGGCCTTGTAGACTGTTATGTCGCTACCTGAATTGCACAGGCCATGCTAAATCTCGATTGAGGTTGCACCAGCAGGGCATGATTTAGAGACCTGGAATGAAATGGCCAGTGCTCTTAAAGTTGGACTGATAGCTGATATAATCAAGAAAAGCAACAAAAAAGAAAGGGTTTCTCACGTTAGTTTTACCCAGCTTTTTATTTTTAACACGCTTTTTAGTTTGATCAAATACATCTTGTGGTCTCGTCGAGAGTCGCCATATTTGAATATAGGCCCTAGCATGGCGATGACCTGAACCAGGGAACAATTACGTTATATTCGTAAATGAGTAGGGTTTCGAGACTACCAGTAAATCAGTGTAATGAGATGTATTCACCATATTTCGTGTAAGGTGA